TAGATCCATTACCTGAGAATTGAGAGCTGTGAAACACAGTTCTTCCCTCTGTTTCAGATAATATATTATTGAAGTTGCTAACATTGATAGAAACTGCAGTATCTATTTCCAAAGGCTTGGGAAAGACAATTAAAATGCATATTCAGAAAACATATTAAACAGTTTCCTTCTCAGCAAAATGACATCTGCAGCACACACAGAAGTGAGCAGGCACTGGTTGGTCCATCAATACATTTGTTTGTATCACTGAAAACCTTGCTGGAATTATGAACTGCATTGGATGTTAAAAAAAAACTGCCCTGCTCTCCTTGCAAAGCAAAGTGTGAACATCTCAGTAATTATCAGTGAGGTAAACAGACACAAACGAGACCTCAGAAGAGCTGCTTTAAAACAGTCCCATACGTTACTAAGCAATTTCTTCCACAAACAAGCTATTGTCATCTGAGTTTCATCTGCTCACAAGTGAGACTCCCCAGGTATTATGTGGAATTACTAGAATTAGCAAGGTTTATTCTCAACATTTGGAACACTTCTCTCCCTTTTCTGTTGCTGTAAGGCTTAACAGCTCGCCCAGCACTTCAGGCTGCAGCAGAGAACAGCAAGAGGACAGATGTTTCAAACATAGGTGATGAGGTCATATCTCCTTTGAGCTTGTTACGGGGCGTGCTGTGTGTATTGAAACCAGACCTGAACGAGGCAGCAGCCCCATCCTCCTCCTGAAAACATGAAACACAAGCTCTCACTGATCCATTCCTCACACACGTCTGTTCCAACCTTCCAGGCCCAACAGCAGCAAGCTGCTACTCTGCAGCACTCCATTCTGTTTGCTCCAACACGATGGCAGCTTTGCAAGAATCACAGGATGGTCTGGGTTGAAGAGAATCACAATAATCACTGTGAACCCTCCTGCTGTGTGCAGGGTGGCCAACTACCAGACCAGGCTGCCCAGAGCCACATCCAGCCTGGCCTTGAATGCCTGCAGGGATGGGGCATCCACAGCCTCCTTGGGCAACCTGTTCCAGTGCCTCACCACCCCCTGGGTGAAAAACTTCCTCCTCATATCCAACCTAAACCTCGCCTGTCTCAGTTTCAAACCATTCCCTTGTCCTATCAGAAACAATTCTAACTGTTTATTGCATATGCATAGCAGGAATAATGGCGTTACAAAAGCAATTTACAGTTGCTGACTTTTTGCTGCTAACCACACAAACTGTTCTGGAATCCACTAACTATTCCAGCTTACCTACAGATGCGCTGACTTCAGATAAAGTGAACTAATGCTGCTATTCCTATTAATTATTTGTTCATTGAGCAGAACAAATTGTCAGCTCTCCAGCAATATATATATGATCCTATTTTAGATTCTGAAGTGTATTAAATTTTTAATTTAAAAACTAGGGCTATTAGTTGAAGATCATTTGCCTGGTGTCGCTTTAATTAATTTCTACAGTGGAGAAAGGCTGGCTGCGAGGATGCACTGAATGGAACGCCTAAAAGACGACATCAAGGAATGTCAAACTGCTCAACTTATCTTCTGCCTCTCTACAATCCAAAGCTTGCAAGCAGCATGGCACCATGGCAGCACGTCACGTGCAGGGCACACAACTGAACACCTCCTGATGTGCAAAACGCTACGGCTCAAAGGAACAGAATGATGGAGATGGGGAGAAAGGAAGTCAGGCAATCAGAGGAAAGAGACAGATTAGAAACCTCCTAGTAATTCACAAGTACAGAACGCCCAGCCCAAAGCAACTCCCGCTGCTCTGAGGCTTCAAGTGTTAGTTAATATGAAGTCTAATTATTTTTGCAGTTTGGTATTTTTATTAAACATGCATTGAAATATGAAACTTTCAGCTAATAGAACACATGTGTAGGTAGAGAGTTCTTCTTGGCATGATTTCATTAGTTCCATGAACAACGGTGCCAGAAAAACAAGATCTAAATTCAGTGCAACTACCAGGACAGACAATTCAGAAGTGGGTGGAAAAAGAAAGAAGAAAAAAGAAGAAATCAACAACTGCAGCATTCTACAGAGAAGCTATTTACTGCCAGCATCATGAGCCTTAAAACACATCCGTCACCTTGGAAGCTTTACTGATAAAATTTCATGGTAGATTTATGCCATTTTCTCCCGTTGTTGAGATGAATGATCCCATGCTTTGCTCTGAACAAGCAGCAGAATGCTTACAAGGAGCTGGGGCTGCTAAGGGCACTTCAGGAGGCAGAACCAAACCTCATCTCAACAGAGAGGATATTTGGAGCCTGCTAATATGTTGTGGTTTAAGATAAAATGATTTACTAAGATAGAGAAAAGGATAATGATGATGATGATATATATCCATATGAACACATATAACAAGTGACACACAAGCAATTCTCACCACCCCCAACTGATGCAGAGAGCAGAAAAGAGCAGAAGACAGCAGAGAATCCCACCCCCTTCAGAACTCCTTCTGTACAATGTTATGTGGGACAGAACATCCCTTTGGCCAGTTCAAGTCAGTCCTTGTGTTCCCTCCCTGCTCCCTGGGCCCTTTGCTGAGAACAGCCTTGGCTCTGCACAGCACTGCTCAGCAGCAGCTACAACCACCAGCATGTTACCAACATTGCTTTTCTCCTAGAACCAACACACAGCATCACACCTGAAGGAAACAATTCCATCCCAGCTGAAACTAAGACATAAGGTCACAATAATACGTGGGAAACAGGAGAATAAGAAGCATTTTTAAAGAGAAAGTAAGTAGTCAAGCTGAGACCTAGTGCCATTAGTAAGTACCTAATGTGTGAACTGGGCACATTGATAAGTGAATGAAGACATCAAAGTGATGCATTATTCACTTCCCTTATTATCCAACTGCTCAGAGTCCCCTGGCAGGGAATGTTCAAGTTCTTAAGCAGGAAGAAAAAGGCACTCTCCTGAAAAGCAATGGACAGGTGGGAAAACCACAGCAATCCTTTTGATCGCAGGTCATGCGCAGCCAATGCGAGCTACTGGATTGTTTTGACTTACATTACTGCTGAACCGTATCATATGACAGGTTTTTGTGCTCTTATCCCACTGCCAGTGCCAAGGAAAATGCATTAGTTTCAACTTCCATTCTTAAACCACAAACAGAGTTGAGTTTAACTCATTTTCCTTCGCAGTTTTTATGAGCTAATAGCTCCAGAACTGGTCACTTACCAGGGCTCAGCTGATGAGCAGGAGCCAGCTCAGCTGCTGCAGGAATCATGTGAGTGCTGCTCATCCACCCCGGGGCAAAAGCAGTCCACATGGCCTCAGCTGCTGCTGAAGGTTTTGATGTTGAGTGAAGAATGAAGATAAAAGGCCCTAAATAGTTGCTTGCTGCTTTTTTTTTGCTCTGCTGGAACACAGCTAAGCAGAAAGTGCTTTTGGGGGATCTGGGTGCTAAATTCATTTCCTACATACACAGTCACTGAGAACCAAACTATCCCATGAATACCTACACTGCTTGATAGCCCAGGTGTCTTTATACAGACAACCTATTAACAATCTACGTATACACACACATGTATAAGCACACAAGTGCTTTCAGAATGCCGTTTTCCAGCACTGTGTGTCCTAACACAACTGATCAGATGATCAGCAAGACCCAAGCAATGAGCATTTGTGTTCCTGAAGTCTTTTTACTCCTTATGTATCTTAGCACGAGACGGAGCTGAGTGCTACTGCTGTCTGGAAGGACATGCCTGCCCTGCCTGGCACGGGGGACAGGGTCAGGAAAACGTTTAGCATTCAAGCACATCCCTTAACATAGCATGAATTTGCAATGATGATTTAGACTACGTTCTTTGGCTCTACTTAAGATGCAATTTGTGGCACACTGAGAATGCACTGCAGGGGAACAATAACGGCACTCAGCTGCGATCGACAAAATTCAAGTTAATTCATACATGCTGCTATCAGAGAGACATCAAACCACCTAGCATTAACCTTTTCAGAAGATGCAATTTTGATATCAATATGTTGCCAAGAAGGAAAAAAGATTGGTATGCTCTAAAACAAAAGTTATCGCACGTACCCAAAATATCACCTTTCCCAGTCTCGCTTCTCAAAAATTATTTTTGATTAAAGTCCCAGTAACAAATATTTAAAGATTAAAAAAGCCCAAAGCTTTATGTTTTATATTGCATCTGTACTGCATACAGTCAAAAGCTCCAAGTGCCAACAGCTGCTCATGGCCTTTGGGTTCGTGAGCCTTTGCAGCTCAGGGCAGTGCTTAAACTCCAACCAAGTATCTCAGCTTATTAATATTCAACAAGAACAGGGAAGTCTCACAAAGTTTTGTTGGTTTTTTTTTCTTTTTAAATCAACTGGTCCACCTAGAAATCTCTGTACAGCAATATTGTTGTGAACACAGTAATAGAATTCAGCATTTAGCAGAGTGTGCCTGAGATCATGTGTTAACAACAGCGCCAACACCTAACGTGGACATTCTGCTCATTTAAACACTTACTGACTCATCACTCAAAGCAAAAACTCTTTTCTTACCTCATGTACACACATGCACCCAATAAAACCATCTTATCAGAAAGAACAAAAGCAGATGTGAAAGATCTGTTTCTCCCAGAACAGCCATATAATGAAAAAATAGCTGCCTAAAACTCAGCAATAAACGTTCGTCAGTTTGCACAGCCTGCAGCCCACATCTGGCCCCAGTGACAGCTGATAACATGGAAAAGAACATACTGTACACCAAATAATCAATCCAGTTAGTAAACATAGGAGTGAAGAGGCCAAAGACAGTAGAAAACACAGGGATAAAGCCTATGGCAGGAGGAATGGTATAAGTCTGGTCACACGCTTCAAGCCCACAGACAAAACACTTAAATTTATGTTTTCTCATTTTGTGAGCTGCTTACTTAAACAAAGCCCAGAACAGGTTTTGCTCTATAAAGCAGACACTCATAACGTGAAATCATTCCAACTGCAATACCAATTACAAAGCAGGAAGGTGCTCAGAGCTCAGCTCAGTTCCTACCTGCCCATCCTGCCCAACGTGCACTTGATGTATCTGCAGGTTTCCCTGTAAAACAAAAAGCATTGACAATTAACAAGCTGTGAATCCAGAAAAACTGCTCACTTGTGAAAAAAGCCCGTTTCCCATCTCATTGTCAAACCACTTCAATATTAAGGATATCTACTAATTGAGGAAATATTTCTGAGGGCTATCTTGGCAATTCGGATACGCTTCAATGCTCAGTGCTTTAACCATAGAGGATAAACAGACTTGTGTTATAAAAAAAAGCAAGGAGGGTTTTCAGCACCAGCAAGTTTTCCTAGGATTGTTCTTTTCCCATATATACATATGTAAGTGCCAACGTAAGTCAAAGCCTTACTGAACTAGAATCAGCTGTGCAAGACTTATCAGCACAGAACGCTGCCAGAAAGTCAGTCTGTGCTAACAGGTTTTTGTTTTACCAGTATTTGATGCTGAAGGCCAGCATGGTTCTGTTACATGAACTGCACCCATTGTAATAAACTCTGAATACCATCAAGTGCTTCAAAGGGAACTGCAGCTACAAAGTCTAAAAGTGAAAGAAGAATGGTAACAAAGGGAAGCTTTCACCCATATGCTCAGGGATGCCTTGTTAAACGCAAAAGGACGAAGAGAAAACCCACTGTCCTAACACCAAGAAGGACACTGCTTTCAGGAAAACAAATTAGTTCTTTGATTTGCATATTTCCTACATTTTCTTCTACTGGCAACACTTCCTTTTTCTTTTTTTGAAGCTGCATACGTTGCAATAAACTTAAAACCAGATGTCTGCATCTGTCACAGAGCAACATAACCCTTCCCTCTCTCACACCCAACAGCTCCCAACCCATGGATGCAGGCATTTAAACCTCAGCATCGATTACAACTGGACGTGATGAATGGCTTTTTTCTTTTCCAGCAGCTTTTAAACCAATGGTGCACACTCCAGAACTGTCTCAGACCCACTAAAGCACATTTTGGTCCTTTCTTGTCGCTCCCTCGGTCTGAAGAGCTTTATCAGGAACACTGCCTTAAACTGCAATATTTACATAGTACTTATCATAACATTTACCCTTCAATACCTCCCTGTGTCATCACTATTTCTTTACACCAAAGTGGTTTAATGAAATGTTATTTGGATGCTTTGGAAATGGATTCAACTAGCCCACAAAAAGATATGGCTACAAGGAAATCATAGACAGTAAATACTGCAGTCGGTATTTCTGCTTAACCTTATTTTGCTGTTGCTTCCTCACGTAAACAAAGTCAGAGCAGAAGAAACAGGACTGCAGCTCCTGCAGTTATGAGTTTCTATACATTCTTAAATAACCAACAGTTTCCCCACTCAGGTACACAGAGCAGCTGCAGTGGTCCTTTTGCCTGAGTGGAAAAAAAAAGAGCCCAAATTGGAGGGTTCAGCACTGGATTTATCCATTTCCCTTCCATAGTTCAATTTTTATGGAAAAAATATGAAGCGCAAATAGCGCAGCGCCAGATTGCTCAGTGCATAATGAAGGTAAATTCACTTCAGTCTGGAATATATCTTCACGAGATGAAGTCTGACTGCTCTCCAGACTCCTGTTGAAGAGTTTACACAATTAAAGACACAGAGCATTCCCAACACATTTGGTATGCACACCTACAGAACATTGCCTCGCTCCTCAACAATGCAAGCACCCAACCTAAGTTTCCTATAATGCTCTGAGTATCCAGCTCCATCTCCAACAAAGACCATATACCACAGTCATTGACATCTCACACAGACAGCACAGCCTTCTTGGGTCTGGAGAGCACGCTCCCAAACCAGGGCCCCATGTTGTACCCACATGTACCCAAAGCTTTGGCTCACCTCGCTGTCCTGCGTGATTTGGACCTGCTCGCCTTGAGGAACCTGGGCTATGTGGAGATGGCCCTGCGGGATCCACAACAAAAGAAAACACCAGGAAGCATCAGAAGGAAACCAAAACTAGAGGAAGAAACTACTCGTTTGGATTGAACGCAGTTAAAACATTCACAGTTGTAGGTGGAAGGGAAAGTCTTCTCCAATGGAAAACATTTAAGATTGCTTTAACTCAAGCGTAACCATATTTTGCCATCTTTCAGTCACTCGTTTTCAGATCAGAGGAAAAGAAAATGGGCACAATCAAAAAAACACATTTATATAGTATGTTTCTCTAAAAAGAAAGAATCTGCAATTGTGACTGATACATGGGACTAACAGGAGTTAGCCTAACAGTAGATAGGCATTAGCTCTCCCAAACTGACAAGTTCAAAATAAGAAACCCATTTAACCGCCTTGGAAACTCAGTTCTTCAAAGAGCTACAACAAAACTACCCACAGATTGTCTCTAAAAGGTTATTTTATAATCACATGCATTTTCACATTAGCAAAGTTACGGTGAGGCACAGTGCCATGCTAACAGCCACCTCTCAAGCTGCTATAAACTGGCACAAAGTTAGCAATTCCAATGCAGTTTCACTGGCTTGTGATAGCTGAGCATCTGCCCTAGGGGCTTTAATAAGGTTAATGCTCAGCGTGGCTGGCCACACCACCCTTGCAGAATGGCATCTTGCCTATCGTTTGATTGAAATGTGGATAAGAGGATGGAAGGAATTCCTCGTGCATCCTCACCAGCCCAGAGAGGTCTTTGCCACTGTGATTTACCTGGAGGGAGATTGGATTCTAAATAACCTACTTGGGAGTTTATAAGGCTTTGTGTTCATTTTAATATGCCTGCATGAGACGGAGATTAAAGATAATCATTTGGAATTCTGTCAAAGGCTCTTCTTATTTTATAACGCAAGAACAATTGCATGTGATTTTCAAAGAAACACAGATCCCTCTATTTCAAACAGTTTCATTTCCTTTGGAAGGAAACCATCTATTTATAGGGAGAAAAAACATACTGAAAGTATCACTCTGACAATAGAGACTGTATATAAAATTAGAGCACAGCCCAGTCCATGTCGAGATTAGAATCAGTTTCCCTCCTTAACACTGAGTACTCAGGGCTCCCAGGGAAAAGCAAGGAACATTTAAAAGATCCATTTACAGCATTTTCAAACAAGCAATCCTTTCTGCCTGGGGACAAGGGGGGAGAGGGGGGGGAAGAAGGTGACTTTATTTGCCTTTGTATCACACAGATTCCAAAACAGAACTGCTCACTCATCTTTTGCAGATACAGAGCTGGCCTTCAAGGACAGTCTCTTTAGTTTGTTTCTGAATTCCACCAAAACCTTTCTGAATCTTAACTCAGAAAGTTTACAAACATTCAGGAAATCCCCAGCATTCGGTCCAACACTGATTTGCTTTAAATACACACGGTATAAATGACTACTGTTATAGTAATGATTCTCAACCTCCTGTGCATCATTCCTTAGAACTAAAAAAGCAACACCATCTTCATCTGCTTCATGGCCCTCCCTACATGCCAGCCAAATTATGACTGTTTCAGTTGTGGGTCATACTTGATTTTTCTCCCAGATTGCACAACAATTACTTAAAAAGATGATTGGCAGACCCGGATAATTTTTTTAACGAGGCAAACTTTCATCACTTAGATCCACAAACTTAACAATTTTGTTCACTGTATCCCTGTATTTCATGTCATTCTCCTCCTGCCTTGTCTTTTGAGACTTGAAAGTTCTCTTTAATGATCAAATGACACAAAAAGCAACCAAGAAGATATGCACCTTAAAGTTTACAGGAAAAAGCCAAGAGACAAAAGAGCTCACAAGATAACACAGTAAGGTTATGGCCAAAGTGAGATGAAAGTTCCTCTTTGTACGCCACCTCTCTCATTTGAGTAGTGACAAAAGAATTGGCCAAATCCTCATTATCCTACCCCAGACTCTTCTCCGTAATGGCACTGACCAAAACCCTTGCAACAGGCAGACCACTGGGTATTATGGGCTGCCATGCTGGTCAATAGCTCTTAAGATTCCCATAGCCTGGTTTCTATGGACAGAAGGTTTACATCATCGCACAGGTCTGTACACATCTCCACACATTTAGTTCTGCTCTGTGCTTGTACACTGCCCACTGGCCCACCCCATCATCAGTAGGATAAAACTAACCTGTCTCACAATGGTCTAACCCAGCTCAAGTTCCCTATTAAGGCTTCTGGGTACCTTAAAATCATGAACACAACCAGTGAAAAAGCTTTAGAAAAAGGTTTACGCCTTGTATGAGTGTGCACAACAGCTGCAAACCTCAAAGTTTCTGAAAACTAATGGCAGATGGACTGCACGCATTGCATCCTCAGGTTTCTACAACGAAGGAGTGAACGTGCAGATGTAATTTACTACTTCTGAACGTTGCATATCAGAAATCACGTGTGTGAGAAACATCATGCCATCCATCTTTTCATTGTTTTCTTCCTTTCTTACATATAATTTAAAGAAAAAATGATTATTGCAGTTAAACCATGGCACACAGGAGCTAAACTAAGGTATGTTTTGTCAGAATACACAAATCTTGTTTAAAAATTATCTTACTCTGAGCTTTGATAGCAGACTTGTGGTCAAAAAATGTCAATATTTATAACTTCTGCTTATATACATGTATCTAAATGAATACACATGTAAAGGTTTGGCTAACAGATGTTCAAAAATGCCTGAGGATGCAGTCATACTTGAAAATAAATGAAGCTATGATTCTGTGAATCACATAAATGCATTTTTGTTTTGAAAGTCATAGTTAGAACTATTACTTTAGGGTGAATGGTACAGTTTGTAAGACTGCTGTTAGTATTATGGGAACAAAGGCAAGCAAAGGGCCAGGTAAAAACTGTACTTCTTAACTCTAGATAGAATCACAGAGTGGCCTGGGCTGAAAAGGCCCACAGTGCTCACCCAGTTCCAACCCCCTGCTGTGTGCAGGTCGCCAACCAGCAGCCCAGGCTGCCCAGAGCCACATCCAGCCTGGCCTTGGATGCCTGCAGGGATGGGGCATCCACAGCCTCCTTGAGGCACTGGAACAGGTTGCCCAACACCCTCTGGGTGAAAAACTGAAAAATTAGGATATTCCTCCTAATATCCAATCTAAACCTCCCCTGTCTCAGTTTCAAACCATTCCCCCTTGTCCTATCACTATCCACCCTCATAAACAGCCATTCCCCTCCTGTTCATCCGCTCCCTTCAAGCACTGGAAGGCCACAGTGAGGTCTCCCCAGAACCTTCTCTTTTCCAAGCTAAACAAGCCCACTTCCCTCAACCTTTCTTCATAGGAGATACAGTAATGAATGCATAATTATCTGCAGTGATTTTGTGAGCAAGTCCTGCATGGATATTCTTGCCAATAACTCTTTACATAAGCCTTCAATGTTTATTTTCTGAAAGTCACGCTTACTAAATGACAATGAGTCATTAGGAACAATAAAAAATTAAATTTCAGTTGAAGCAAAGTTTATATTAACATGGATTGTCTAAACAGAGCAATTTAGAAAAGGCTGAATACATACTACTTGGACTTGTCCATCTTCTCCTATTTGGTGGATCTGAACCTGCTGGGCGTTGGCCAGTGCGTAGTGTAGTGCCTGTGGTTGGTTCTGCTGGATCTCATTTGAGGCTGACACTGAGCTCTGAGGACCCTCTGAAAGAGACACAAATCTACCTTTGTTACATCTGTATATCTCATGCCAGCAGCCGTGCAACAAAGCATTCTTAAAAACAGGAATACAAGAAAGCAGATGCAGATCATTTCTACATTAATGTTTTTATGCGCATCGTTGCTCATTTGCTACAAATTTCAATGGAGCCCCAAATGCTGTTTTGTCTCTGTGAAAGCACACACTTAAAAAGCATCTTTTGAATCTGGATTAAGAGCTCAAAGTCAAAATAACATGACAGGCAAAGCACACAGACTTGCTATGCAGCTGAACACTACAGGACCTGGCTGGTTCCTTCTGCTCGCTGTGACAGCCACCAGCAAAGCCAGCAGTAGATTTTACCAGAATAACCTGCATTACAAGCTGACCTACATTCATTTCTAGGTTTTCCACCTTCACAGAAAAGATCCTCAAATATAAGAGGCAAGTATGCAAACTAGAATTAAGTTGTAATACACAACCACTCAAATACCATTCTTTCTTGAAACCTGATATTTTTATGCACGTGGTGGTCAATGATAACACAATAACGTTGATGACTCCATACCAGAAGGGTGGAATGGAATACAAGGGAGCAGAAGCAACCTGAGAGAAGACATCACTACAGGTGAATGGCACCAAATAGTGCATCCCCATTCGGAAGAGCCCTGAAACGACCCCATGTTGCACAGAGGAGTAAAATTCTGCACGGGTCCCAGCTTCTTTTCCTTTTTCCCCTACATCTGAGACGACTTTGAGAACAGGACTGTCATAACAGGCTCTTAAAATAATGTATTTGAAGAAAGGCTTTTCTATATACAGTGCTTCTACAATCAGTTTAATGGTTTTCTTTTGCTATGCTACAAAAATATTATCAGACGAAATCTTTGAAGCAGCAAGTTTGTTTTACAGCTTTTTTTCCCAGGGTATTTATTGCTCTCACAATGACTTTTACGCTACATGGGAACATAAAACACATTAACATTTAACACACAGTAGCATTCAGTACTATAAGGCTTTCAAACCCTTCAAGTGGAGGAAACTGTAATAAAAATATTTAAGAAGTGCTGTCGCTCTACTTCTGCTGTAGATAATTTTCTTACAAGATGTTATGAGTTGTTTAAATAAAGGCTAGCAGGGCCTCATCCTGCTCAGAAATGGCTGATGTAGTTTGATTTTAAGCACAACCAATGTAACAGGAAGCTGGCTTTCATAAGTTTTTCATATTTCTCCTTAATACCCCATGATTAGTCTGAGAACAGAACGCTGCTTTCACAAGACTGAGCTTTATTCAATCATACAAAAATCTTAATGGAAATGTCCTTTAATACAATTATCCATTTGGAGTTGTTCTTTCATCGTGCCTGCAAATGTTTGTGGAAGAAGACAATTTTGAGCCTAAGTCTGAACACAGGGATTGGAAACAAATTCAGTGCCACTAAGCTTGCATTTACTTCTTTGCTGAAAAGTTCAGTTGTTTAATAACTCAACCAAACAGCTGTAATTATGTCAACAATCCGCAAACGTGTAACTACAACCAGAACACTAATGGAATAGCTCAGTAAACACAGCCACTATATGGCTTTGGTACCTACTGCACACCTTGCATTTGACTAGCAGGTAACACCCTGAAATTCATCACTTCTAAAATACAGTGCTGTTGGTCACACTGCAATTCCTGTACCCCCCACACTGCTGTACAGCATTCAGGACTGGGTTAAGCAATTCTGTATCTGGTTATGAGAAACTTCAATGGCAGCCAAATAGCACCAGACCACAGCACTTCTATGCTATGACACCTGCTCATGCTTTCCATGGCCAGTGGCTTTGTCACGACCACTTCAAGTGCTGATTCTGTCTTCCCATTGCTGCAAAACTCAACAGCTGAGTTACAGCCCAACATGGACACAGACCAGGGTGTCCAAATACATCAGCCTTCACTTAGATAAGCATCCATGTACCTATGTATCTTCATACCTGCACACTATACATACGTACACACACAAGCGTCAAGTACTAACATATTACATGGGAAAATTCATTTTTAACTTTATAAACCATCTTTTGCTCACAGATGCCAGAAGTTAAGCTGTTCAGAAGGGAACAGGATACAAGGACTGAATGCCATCCTGCTGTATACATCTTGCACGGTCCATCATGAATAGTTTTCATGTTGACTTCACTGCAACAGCCACAGTTGGCTCAATTTTTTTGTGTGATTTTTTTCCCCCTTTTTTCTCTTTGGGAATAAAGAAGAGGATTGAAATGTGTCTAAGAACAAAACATCCTTTATAACCACTGCTCCTCTCCAAATATCTGACCAGACAAAAGCAATATTTATCCATTTTTAAACATCCCCCATTAAAAACAAACACAAACATGAATAGCACACAGCTTGAATAGAGGATATGTCAACAGTTATAAATCACCATCATGTAAACTATCTGGCTTTGCATGTACAACTTTGATATGTTAGAGAATCCCTGGCACAGAGAAGCCATACAGCTGAACTCGTGCTGTGCAATGCTGGACATCAGTGAGCAGTACAGAGCACTGCTACTGAGCACGTTCCTATGGCAATCCCAAGGCACCCTCGTGGAGATGAGTTTGGAGCTACCCAGAGAACAGCACTGCTGCCCTGACCATTCCACAGCCGCTTATGCTGTGATACGGGAGGAAAAAAAGAAGCTGAAGTATTCCTTCTTCCCTTTAGCATTTGTTTCTTCTTATTCTCCCTAGACTTTGTATTTACCAGTTGAGCACGCGTTCTCATTTTGGAAGGAAATGGAGGAGGTTTGGATTCTGTAGTTGATGGGATTTAAGCTATGTCCCCTCACTTGTGTGCTGCCATTCCAAAGTGCTTTACTTCCCTGAAGGCTCCACATTTCTGCCTACAGCCCAGGACGTGCTTTCTTATCTCCTTGATATGCAGTGCTAGCAAGGAAAGGTTAATGGGCAGATGAAGAAGAGCACCCTTTAAAAGCAAGAAAAAAAAAAGGGGGGGGGGAGGGGAAATACACCATCACCCAGGAATACAACTTTGCCTTGTAAACCATTATCTCAACCTGACTCACCCAGTGCTCAACGGCTCCAGTCTTGCAGAACTGCTTTGAAGATTTGGCCACGCCATCTGTTTTCACATGTGACACCTTGGCACAGCTCAGCACTTCAGCCCAAATCTACATGTAAATCCCAAAGTCATGAGCCTAACTAATAATTCCAACACGGAAAACTGCGATAACAGCTTTAACAATCGTAAGAGAAATTAAAAGAAAAGGAGAGAAGGCACTCTGCAGTTAATCCTCCTCTCAAAAAACTCATTTCCTACTCCCTTCTCTCCACAGACTGCTAACAAATTTAAAAAGAACATCTCTCTAAATTATCATGGCAGCCACGCGCACAACTTCTATCAGAAAAAGGGAGAGACAACAGCACACATTAAGGAGTAGCCCGTTGGCTCAGAGATGAGCAACCCACTGCAATTAATGCCTCAAGTCCAACAACAGGCAATGAAAGAGCCAGAAAAAATAAGGAAACAAACTTCTGTCTCCATTTAACAGTCTGCTGCAACTTTATGCAAGCCACAAATCTTGTGGATACTGCCAAGCTGCTCAGTCAATTAAATGCAGACCAATCTTAATAAGCCTCCAAGGGGGTGGAGGACAGAGAAGAGGCGTTCATTGGTACCTCCCTACCAGCTTCTTGATCCTAGGCTGCAGCTCAGTTCCTCCTCAGCTCTTAACACATGAATACAACACGACGAGTGCCAAAAACCTGTGGGGTCTGTGCAAGGACTGCGGGCTCAGCCTTGTGCTCTGCCACATTTCTACTGCTAATTTTTCCTTATCACAAACAGAGCAGAGAGGAAATCTGTTACCATTTTCACATGCACAATGCAAATCAAAGCCACACACTATGAGGACTTCAATGCAGAAGAAGAAGAAAAAGCCTACAAGTTTGGATGTGTTCAATGAGTGGAGAAGAATTAAGCTCAAGAACAGCAATTCTTTTTGGATGTAAATATTTCAAAGCTATTTATTACGTGTGCAATAACTCAATGCTCATAAAACCCACCAAACCACAGAGTAGATGAGCTTGGAAGAGACCTCTGGAGATCACCTAATCCAATCCAATCCCCCTGCTCAAACCAGGCTCAACCACAGCAGTTTGCTCAGGACTGCAACCAGCTGGAGATGGAATCCCTGCAGCCTCACTGGGCTAGCTGGTGCTGTGGTCAACCACCCTTAAGATCCCTCGAAAGCAGAGCAGCACAAGCCATGTCATAGGCAGGTGAGTTCCAGACTGCTGTGTTTTATTTCGTTTTTTTAAACGAAGCAAATTAATTGCTTCTAAAAAGCACCTCTGGAGAAATCAAGAGCCATAATTCACAGGAGAGGGAGTACAGCAGAGCAGGAGCCATGCTGATCCGACACTATTTCAAGAACCAACACAAATACTACTTCCAATGATAGAGCTGAAACCAGAACACGCATTGAGTTGTTCAACAATTTTTCACTGCCAAACAGAAAAGGATGAAGCCATTCCACATTTCTCACATAGCAACATTCAAGAAACACTGTGATACACATTGAGTTGGACTCCATGATCTTTGTGGGTCCCTTCCAGTTCAGAATATCCTATTACTCTGTGATTCAAAGGAGAACGGTGCTCCTTTACAACATCTGAAGCAAGTGCCAACAACTTTCTGTTGACTTAAACATGTACCATTATATGAAGATATAACAGAAAGCCACCTTGCTATTATCAGATCCCAGAGAGGTGATGAAAATAATATTACTTCAAGCCAAACAACTGCTTTAGATTTGAGTCTTTTTTTTTTTTTCCTGTTGCACCTTTTCATCCCAACTTTAACATGAACTACAATATATTACAAGTTCGTAGTCAGAAAAACACTGCCAAGCTATGGAAAAAGAGATCATTTGGGGAATGTGGAGTTCATTCATTCACGCTCAGGCCCTTGAAATCGTATTTAATCATCACTTAATGATTACAGTTATGATAATTAAATCAACACTTAATGAGAACAGCTCTGCTGCATGGCAGACGCTGTGCATCTACTCAGTATATTTGTTGATGGCAATGGAGCATCTTCAAAAAGAAGTGTTTTCTGAATGTTACGAGAAAATAAAAAAAAAAATAATCACAGAATCCTAGAATGGCCTGGGTTGCAAAGGACCACAATGCTCATCCAGTTCCAACCCCCTGCTGTGTGCAGGTCGCCAACCAGCAGCCCAGGCTGCCCAGAGCCACATCCAGCCTGACCTTGGATGCCTGCAGGGATGGGGCATCCACAGCCTCCTTGGGCAACCTGTTCCAGTGCCTCACCACCCTTCCAAAGTAAGCCCTAAAACTTCCTTAGGAAATGGTGACCACTTTGCTATTAATCAGAAGGTGTTATTCCATGGTTATTCCTAATCCTTTTTTAAGCAATACATGGAGGAATACAAAAAATGCCAATTACATACAAAGGGGCATGGAGCAAGCATTACAGTGAAACCAATCACAGATATTTCCCTGCATAGCACACCTAGAAGCTGACCTAACAGCCTTGCTAACAATAGTGGGAAAGACAGGTTCTCAAGTAGCTGGATTCCAGACCATTTGAGGCTCACCTTAACTTGCCCCTTGAAACAAACACTACCATAAAAGCTGTCTGGGTTCATATGTAACACTTTAAAAAGCCGTACTTGACAGCTACGTTGTCATAACTGTGAAATACAGACCTCCTTTACTTCAGAGCTGTGAAATATTACTTCTCTTTCCTGCTAACTGGCAGCAGGAATTCTGCTATATCCACTATACAGCGTATATAATAAGGAACAGATGCCTGTGAATTATGATGCTGTAATTCCATCGAGGGCTTCCAGAGATGTCAAACCACAAAGACAAAGCCTGAGCAGCTCACAGAGATACCTGAACAGACCAGGATCATTGCAGCAATGACAGTTACCTTCCTGAGCAGCGTGTGAATCTGTCCTCTTCCTTTCTATCTTTGATTTTTCCCTTCTTCTGACTCAGCCCCTTCTCCATCCCACCATCCTACTTTTCCTCCTACCTCTTCTTCCTTCAGGTGAAATCCCACTCCCACCTGCCTTAAGAATGCAATTAGTTTCCCTGAGGACCACCTGGCTCTGAGAAAAGGGCTGTTTTTCTAACACAGCTTTCACAGTGGGTGTGAATGTAGTGGTGAATTCATCCAACATCTTTACAGCCTCCCAGAAAACGATGCCAGTGACATTCTTAGCAAAAGCAATATTTTAAAGAAATTAACAAAAAACTCAGAATCCATGGAACATTTTCACGTACCATTACCAAAGGCAGATGTTAATGCTATTGCCAGCTCTCTACTTTTGGCTGCACGGCTTATACACAGTCCTGCAAATGACATGTCAAGACGCCTCGACTGACCTTCACCATACTAAAAGACCATATTTTGGGTCTTCATCATTTTTAGGAGCATACTTAAGATGTGCAGTCACCTCTTTGCTACCCAGAGGAGCTGGAACGTGCTGTACAGCAGGAGCCCCAGGATGCACAGAGCACTGGGGAAACGCAGGAGATGAGAGGACCAGCTCAAATCCCAGGAGTTACCCCAGGTGCATTCGTACCCAAGGAACAAGATAATTCTGAGTGGTGTTTGTGGAACTGGGATAGGGCTAAAAGAAAACACCTGGAGGTTTCAGCTTAACGAAAAAAACAACCCACAACATATTACTTTATGGCTTTCTGAAGTTAAGAACTCCCTGAATCTGTGCTTTATGTCTCTATGCTGGTCTCTCCAAAGCTCCCAACCAGGAGATTAAAGATAATATTTTTTAATAATAAATCTCAATGACAGTCAAAGTGCATGGCCTAATGAGCACAGGCCTGTAACAACCCCTTACTACTGCATTTTTACTCTAAGGAGACTGAAACTAAAAATCCCATCAACATATATATATGGCTTATGGTTATCATTAGGTTGATTAGTTGTTTTAATTTGAAAATTTTGGATTTGATTCCCAGTTCCAGCACATAAAATTTTCCATTGAAAGCAGATTTTGGCTTTCTTTGCATGAGATACAGTGGTTAGTGTTAACATGCAACCAAAAATTTTATGCAGGCAAATAAACTTGCTTCCTTTTCTTTGGGCTCACTTCCAAAACACTGGTTTTAATATACGATGTACAAATGTCCCATAACACTGCTTTATATTAAAAGCATGAGCCAGAAACGTCCTGTGAGAACACTTTTAGCTCAGTATTTTTCATTTGTTATTATTATTCATGCCTACACACCTATGTGGAAATACAGAATCAGCTACAACATGTTTAATTTCTACAGAAGAAAATACTTTATAAACAAAATTTAGCACGTCCCACTAAATGGTGTGAACACACAGAGGAAGGTTTATTCCTTTGACTCCACTCATGAACGTCAGTTGCAGATGAAATACTTTGACCTTTTACTTCAAGTCTATCATGGTAAGTTACACACGTGATGCTGCACATTGTGAATTGTTTCAATTAGCACACAGGATGGACGTTCCCAACCATACCAGTAAAAGTCAGTTCAGAGAACACACAAATCACCAAAGGCAACTCTCTCATGGAATGGGATGTGCTCTGCTTTCCTTCCTGACAAATCCACATTTTACAACTTCTTTAGAGACAGTTTCCCTCCTCCTTCTCGTTTGGGTGCACAAACCACCTCTCGTTTCCTTTCTTGGGTCAGCAGTATGTTCCAACCAGTGGTTTTACAGCCACAGTTTGTAGAAGCAATAGATGTTATAGATGTTCCTGCTACCTGAGACTGACTACAGTATGAGCCCCAGGAGGCCAGCAAGGACTCTACATACACCAGAAGGTGGCTGGATTGCATTGAATCTACAATGATTTAACTACGAGTGGCTGCCTCCAATTACTAAATGAATGCTGCAGTCACTCCTTGAGGAGCACTGCAGAATTATGCTCATA